CATGTGCCTATTACCACATTTGGACACACTGCCACACTGTAAAGTGTTATGAATGTTGTTATAACATCTTATGTAGCCTCTAAGAAGGTATTATGCAGGATACTGTAAGAAGCAGAGGAATAAGGATTGAGGAACTTGGCTCAGAGTGCTGAGAGCAGTGTGTAAACGCTCTAGAAACAAGGAGATTATTAGTGCGCATTCCACATATTTTTGTAAAAATATCAGTACCTGTTGAAGTGAGCAGATTTCTTTCTTTGTAGAGACCTACAGTAAATGAGACCTACATAAAAGAAACACTATGTTTCGGCTGTGGAGCCTTCTTCAGGTGTCTGAAGAAGGTGGAAGAAGGCTCCACAGCCGAAACATGTTTCTTCTCTTCTGTTTTCAGCATGGAATAAACCTTTAATTCTTCCCCAATATTTACTGGGTAAGGCTGTCACAAAACTACACAGTTTTAAGTCTCAACCTCTGCCCAAACAGGATCTGCCATTATGCAAAAACCACGATGCAAAAATGCTGAAAGAAAAGCATTGTCAAAGGGAGTTTTGGACAGTTGTTGAAGTATTTTTTCCCCTGAATGTATGGCAGGCCTTCTGGACACTTTGTAGGGATGCAAGGAGTCACAACACAGTCCAGTGTAGGTTTGAGATGAGTTTAATTGTAACGAGAATGGCCACTTCCAGAGAACACTGAAGGAGACACACACAAGGCGTATTTCTTACGGTGCCCTAAATTGCAACAGTTTCAGAGATGTTTTCATAGGTTTTTAAAAATACCAAGACCAGCCATATACAGTACAGTTTACATACAGTAATTTGTTTATGTTCCTAAATTAATATTTTTTATTAGCATGTGAAAGGCATGGTGAATCGGAGATTCTCAAGAATTACTTTGCATGATTGGAAACAAATGCGTGATTGGATCAACGAAATGCTGTGGTGTTACTCTTTGTCAATTAAAAATAAAGTATTTTCGTTTACAAAGACGGTCAATTAAAAAATAAAGTATTTTCATTCACAAAGACGGTTACAAAGAATGTGGACCAAGAATGTGTTAAGTTTTGAGTTTACAGTTTGTCCAAGGCCATTCATTATTAATACTATTAGTAATATGTTCGGTAAAGACTTTGATGCCAACAGTTCAAACGCTGTACATGAGAGGTTGAGCTTTATTAGCTCCACCTGGTGGTAATTCCGGATACTATTATCTTACTTGCGGTATTATGTGGGATTATACGGAATTATACGGTAACCCGTGTTATTCCGCGACAAGTGCACCGCGTTTTAACGCAGTATAACCCGCTTGTTTTGAATGGCTGCATCTGTATACTGTATCATGTGCAACAGCAGGTGTTTGTTCAAAATTCTCCCTAACCAGGTCAGGAGACCAGGTCAGAGCCAGATATTTACAGTTTCTATCAACTAGAAACATGCTTCTCAGACAATACCAACACCAGAAGGTTTGAGAATCTCCTTGGTAGGTCATCTGAAGGCCAAGGCACTATTTTTCAGAGTGCACTTTGGTCTGGTACCATGCTTTAATGGTACCAGACCAAACAAGGAGAAAGCAGGCTTTCAAACCAATGAAACAGGCTAGTTTCAAATACTGTAAAATCCTCAAGCTCTTAGTTCAGCAAGTTTTATGTTAGATTTCATATAGAACAGACACACCCATGACAAGCATACTTTGAAGCTTTTGAACTAATAATATCCCATCATCAGCTTTAGTTCCTGTTGTTACAAAAGCACGGTTTCATTCTTATTTTTGGCATTTTTGAACTCTTTAAACTACTTTTTGTACTGAATAAGTATACAGCAGTTCATTTCTTATCATGCCTATTGCAGGATTTAGTTGTGTCCATGGTAACTGGATCAGCCCTTTGGCAGCCTGCTCAACCAGACAATTAAACAAGTTTACAGATGCTTTGTTTTAGAGGCAGGGAATTAAAGCTGCTGCCAAACTTTAGACTGGGTGAGGTTAATGTAGTGCTAATGTTTTTTTTTTCTTCAGAGATAGGAAGAAATGCTAACTTTCCCGTCTTAAACCCAGATGTTTTATCCTTATAATCTTCTCAATTTTAGAAGGAATCTTACAGTGCATAAAGGAAAGGGGACAAACCATTTAATCAACAAAAAAGACAGCATAAATGATTTGAGTAATTATACTCTCCTGCTTCTCAGAATATAGCTGTTCCACACTCATGGTGAAAATGAGCTGTTCTGGAAACCTTGAAA